CTTAGTTATCATCAAGGAGGAGGAAATCCTTTCCCCACCCCATACTAAACACACTCTCACTGAGGAGCTACACTCCCAGCCCCAAAAGCAAATAGTTCTGAAATAATTAAACACCTTTGGTTTGAAGTTCCACAGAGAAGAGAGAGGGCAACAGTCCATCTGAAGCCACGTCACCTGTCAGGCACTGAGAATACTTGCAGAATGGTTCACAAATTCACAAAGAGAGCTCCTTTGAATCCCACAGCAACACCCCCACCCCCACCCCAAGGTGGGGTAAGAACAGCGCTGCCACCTCCATTTACAGGCAGGAGTGACAGGTAAGCTCTCCGGACACTGTCACCTACCCACTCTGCCTCCCCCTGGTTCCAGCAACCTGCCCATCCAGGTCCGTCTGGAAATGGGTCCTCTCTCCCGTGCCCGCCTGCTGGGACTCAGAGACTGTGTTCTCACTGCGGCCTCTCTGTGGCAGGGCCTGTGCACAGGGCTGGAGGGCAGAGTTGATCCAATGGTCTTCTGTGCCATGGCTCTTGGAGCATCTGGTGCCGCATACTGAGGCCAGACGACAGAGGACATGTCTGCAGCATGACTCACAGGCCTTCTGTCTGCAGAGGTGTAGCGGTAACGCCCGCGTCACCGCTAACCGTTCACCATGTCTGAGCGAAGGGCTGCGGATTAAAAAATAGAGACAAGAGACAGCGAGTCATTCGTACGTTTGGATGTCGAATGCCGTTTATTGAAAGAGGGGAGAAACCTTAAATACGTACAGGCTTACAGCACAAATGGAGGAACCCCCGGAGGGCAGAAGTTCGCTGTCAATGGTCTACATTCCAGACTCAAATGTTCTACAATCTAGCATCTAAGTAGTTAACGCCCAAAATACAGGATACACAACAAGGAACTTCCCTCAAGCATTCAGAAGGGTGGATACCGGCAGGGAATCCGAATAGGGAGGAATTCTGATCAAGGTCAAGCAAGCAAGGCCGCAGCCACTCCCAGTCGGGGGCCAGGGCCCATGGCGCCCACACAGAGGCCAACCGAAATATATGTTATTAATAAAACCCACACTGTTGTCATACCCATGGATGGGGGGGGGGAGAAATGGCTTGCTCTGAGCAATGACCAATAATTGTAGCTAGGTGACAGTTGGCTTCCCACGGCTAGGTAAGTAAAGTAAAGCTAGAGAAGCCCCCCAGGCACTTAAATGTTACCCCTGAGACTGTATCCATGGAGATGTTCAGCCTCATTCAATTCCTCTGGAAGAATTTCTTTTATTTTATTGTTTTAATTTTTAAAATGTGTGTGGGTGTTTTGTTTGCATGTATATCTGTGCACCACATAAATGCAGTACCCAAAGAGGCCAAAAGAGGGCGTCAGATCCACTGAGACTGGAGTTACAGGTCGTTGTGAGCAGTCATGTAGGTGATGGGAATTGAACTCAGGTCCTCTGGATGAGCAGCCAGTGCTCTTAACGGCTGAGCCACCTCTCCAATCTTGGAAGAACTTCTTTTCAAATGCAAATGTGCCATTTTCTGCTCACTATGCCTTTCTGACTATTTGTTTTTGTTTTTGTTTTTGTTTTTCGAGACAGGGTTTCTCTGTGTAACACTCCTGGCTGTCCTGGAACTCACTCTGTAGACCAGGCTGGCCTTGAACTCACCGAGATCCTCCTGCCTTTGCCTCCCAAGTGCTGGGACTAAAAGCGTGTGCCACCACCGCCCGACTCCGATGTACTTTTTAGCGTCCAGTTGAAATGTCACAGTCTCTGCTAGAAGCAGGTAGTAACTTCCTCTTCTAGGCTTTCCTAATGGTTTGCCTCTGTCTCTGAAGAACGTTCACTGTCAGCATGGTGGGTTCCCGCACGACTTGTCCTGGTTAGCAGCCCAGGGTGAGTACTGGCCCAACACCACACGCGGAATGAATGGACAGTCGCCTAGATGAAATAATCACCATTGTCTTCTGTTCCGATGAAGGGTAGACCACAAACGCCTCTTCCCAGCCCTGCCCCGAGGAACCTCTCTCTCGAGTTCTCTTCTTTCATGTCTGTTCCCTGCACATCGCACCCATGTTTGCATGCGGAGGCGTTCCTTGCCTGAAGGGGATGGGCGTCTCTGCCATGCCCTTGGATGTTCCTTGAATGGAAGGAATAAGGGTGGGGGTTTTTAGGACCCGGAAGTCCCAGGGCTAAACCATGACTGGATGGATGTCAGACAGGAAGAGCAGGTTGGAGTAGGAACTGTTTATCAGTCCCCAGTCTTCCTTCCTGGCCAAAGTGAACAGAGGCCCCCCTAGAGGTCTTGGGGCTGCATGACACAGAAGGGAAGACCCGAGAAAGGCTTAGTCTTGTGCCGGGAGGTAAGCGACAGTTGTGACCAGGAAGAGAGGTCAGGAGGCCCTGGGGATGAATATCTGAGTGAGGAAGGCTTACACTTGTTCCGACTCATCTACTTCCAACTGGGACAACCTGCGCCAGTCATGTCACCCTTCCGCGCTTCATCTGCAGTTTTCATCTGTAAAATGGGCGTTATCAACAACTCCAGACTGGGAGGTGGATATGAAGTCATCGGCGGGGCCTGATGCTTGGGAACCTGCAGGGGGCAGTACGGGAACCCCGGTCCTAGGAGGGTTCCTCGGGTGCCCTTCGGTGGGTCTCCGCTCTGTGCGCGCTTCGGTGCCCAGGCCGGGCGGGGTGCCAGAGTGGGCCGGGCTGCGCGCTGGCTGGCTTGGCGGAGGCGGGCTAGACGCGCCGTGCGGAGCGAGCCAGGGACGCTGGGAGCCAGCGGGAGACGCCGGCTTCCACCGCTCCGGGCCGCGGCGACGGGCACCAGGGCCTGGGCAGCCTGGGTAAAGGCCTAGCTGGCTCGATCACTCCTCCGGTCCCCGCTTGGGCGGCTGCGATGAGCCCCGGAAGCAAGAGTCGGGGTGCTGGGTCACGGGAGCGGGCAAGTGGCATTTGGGAGTTCTGCCGGAGCTTGGGCGCTCGCTGATTGTGGGCCTGCTGGCAGCTTCACTTTGCTCCCCGAAGCCAAGTGGAAGTGGGAGAGCTGTTGGTGGGGAAGCTCTGCGCCTTCTTGTCGCACTCCCTGTTTTGATGAGTGACAACTGTTTGATGAGAGAATTATCCTAAACCCTGTGTGCCTTATCTCGACTCAGTGGACCTGGAGCTGATGCCAGCCCTGAGATTTGCCGGGTTTTCAGGACCTTTCTCTAACTCTGGGACTCCTGTCCCCAGCCCAGGCGACACCCTAGCCAGCTCCTACTCCGGCTACCCCTGGCAAAGCAGGTTGTTCAATGCAGCCACTTCCCAAGTTTGCCCCCTCTTTTAACCCCAGTGTCAGTGAGGGAGGCCACGACAGAGTTGGGGCACAGGCATGTCAAGGAGCGGAGGGGAACTGAAGATACTCGGGAGGGAGTACCTTGAGCAGAATCTTCAAGAGTGTCTGGGATTCTGATAACGGAGATGCTAAGCAAAATGTATGAACTGAGTTAGGAAGGTCAGAGCAAGAAGAATCCTGTAGTCCTGGAGGATGAGGAGAGGGCTGGGGGCAAACCTAGAAAAATGGCTTCTGTGGGCCTGGGGTTTGCAGCTGTTAAGTAGCATAAGTTTAGGGAGTTGATTTCTGCAGGGAATGAGGGATTGGAACAGGCCAAGAGTGAAGGCACGGAGGTCTTGAGGAAGTGGGGTCCTGTGAGGTCCGGAGGGATCTGAATAAGTTCTGAGATGAAGAAGTTAAGGGCCCGGGCCACAGCAGTAGGGAGGGATCTGCAGGACTGTCTCCTACCCGGAAGGGAAGAGGGGCAAGGGTTTGAATCAAAAGCCAGGGAATACAGTGTGAATCCAGGGTTTGGAGGAGCTCTGTAGAAAAGGAACCAGAGGAGGGGGGCTGGTGAGGCCAGGTTGCCCCGGGTGAAGTGGGAGGCAGAGGCAGCACATCCTTATGTCAGGCCGGAAGTTCATTCACACATTCATTTATTATTTATGCCAGCCTTAAAGGCAGCTTACATAAAAGTCAGAGGATAAAGTGACAAAACCATTAAAACTCAGCCAAAGGGATCTGATGGCTGGGACACAAAGGCAGAAGGAAGTGAATAATGATGACTGGGGGAAAACCTAGGCTCAGAAAAGGCGCTGGAAGTGAGCTCAGGTCTCCCATCTGAGCTTGCTGGCAGGCAAGCAAAATAAAACCTAAAAGCAGATGATTGGGCTGGAACTCTGGACAAAGGCAGCTGTGAAACCTCAGCGGGGAGGCAGGAGTTGGTAGGAGATGAAACGGAATCATTCAGGCTGGGATTATCCTCGCTGAGGAGAGCTGGAAGCCAGGCTTCAAACATGCTGATATCTGAGGACAGGCTCAGCCTCCCTTGGGAGAGGGTCCCTTCTTAGATGCTAAGGGTAAGGGTTGGAGAGGGAGTGTGTGTGTGTGTGTGTGTGTGTGTGTGTGTGTGTGTGTGAGAGAGAGAGAGAGAGAGAGAGAGAGAGAGAGAGAGAGAGAGAGAGAGAGATATGTGGGATGTTTGAGGGGCCACCTGGTGGTGATGGCCATACATTCATACTATTGTTTTGTTTTTCAATTTACATTATTGGTTTTTTTTTTGTTTGTTTGTTCTTAACTTTTTCTTTCTTTTTTCCTCTCTCTTTCTTTCTTCTTTTTCCTTCCTTTTGGTTTTCGAGACAGGGTTTCTCTGTGAAACCGGAACTCACTCTGTAGACCAGACTGACCTTGAACTCACAGAGATCCTCCTACCTCTGCCTCCCAAGTGCTGGGATTAAAGGCGTGTGCCACCACCTCCTGGCAAGTTTTTCTTTTATACATTTACTTATTTGTTTATTGTGGGGATGTAGAAACAAAGGCCAAAGGACAACTTTCAGGAGTGGTCCTCTCCTTCTACCCAGCGGGTTCCTGGAATTGAACTCAGGTCCTCAGGCTTGCTAGCAGGAGCCGTTACTCACTGAACCGTCTTGCCAGCCCCATTCACAACATTCTTTTTTCAGGGGAACAGGAAAGAAGGTGCTTCTAATTGCTCCAGGCCCCGACTTTCCTAGTATGAGGTGGGGCTGCCGTTTGTCCAGGACCTCTTGGGGCTCAGGTCTGGGAAGAACACCCCAGCTATCAGGTAAGCAGGAAGCTCTGGTTTGTTTTGACTCCTCCTTTCTGCTTTCAAGGTCCAGATGGTACTTCCAAAAAAGCAGGGATCCAGACATGAGGTGCGCCCGTCCCAGCTGTGTGGCACTGCAGCTGGTGTCCTTGGGCATGGCACCTCACCTTCCAGAGCCTCCTTCCCCCGTCTTAAGACAAAGGGGCTGAGCAGGCCCCTTCTAGCTACATCAATCTGGTTTTTCATCCAAGACATTAGCTGTGTGTTGGCTGTGTACCAGACTGCGGGCTAGGCTCTTGGTATATAATTTGTGAATAAAACCAGATGTGAGCCTTGCCCTCATAGAGGGGAAATGGATGATAATCAAATGATCATATAGCTAAATAGAAGATTATGTAATAACTGCTATTTAGGATAGCACATTGCTACTATAAGAGTAAATAAGAGCGAGGTTTGATGCCAATGTTGGGGTGTGTATTAGTGGGGAGATGTGGATGGGATCTGCAGTTGCTGCCCCTTTCTTCTTTCTGTAGATGAGCAGATCTCCTTTCTGACCCACTGGAGTTGGCTGTTTAAAGGGGTGCATCACCTTGGGCCCCCTAGGTGAGACCTGGATATAACATGCCTCAGAACACAGGTGGACCTAGCTCAGGAGATGGGAACGGTCAGAATGTGCTATTGTGGGAGAGAGGGTGGGAAGGGTAAGGAGGCAACTTCCAGGTCGTGGAGGTACATAGAATAATGGGGAGTGGGACAGATCTAGCAGAGGCCAGTCTGAATCCCAGGCAGGCAGCAATTCGGGCTGGACGTCCAGGCTAGGCCTTGATCCTTGGGAACGGTAAGAGTTCGGGTCTCATCTTAGAAAACGCAGACTGGACTGGACTGAGCCCACGCCAGGGGTGAGCTCAGTTCTAAACCCCGGATCATCCCATGTCTTTGCTCACAGGACCTTTATCCGTCACCATGGAAACTCAGCAGACAGTGTTCCCCCACCAGGGAAGCATGGGCAGCTCTTCAGGAGCATCTCTGCTACTGGTAAAGGAGGGGTGTGGAGAGGAGAGGGGCCTGGAAGGAGAGGGAGGACGAGGAAGGCACAGGGGATCCACTGCTGTCATCTACTGGTGGTCCCTCCCTCCGTGTCCCTTCCTTCCTTCATCTGTGCGTCACTGATGCTGTGTGCACATGGACCACACAAAGCACTTACAGAGACACTCTCTCCCTACCTTCAGCTCGGGTCCAGAAAGTCAGGGAGCCAGTCAGCCCAGGCTCTGCATAATTCATTCAGAGGCCCCCTATTTTCTGTCATGGGGCTTATAAACCTTCGGAGTCATCTTGGTTAAGGGAGTTCTATGAGCCCACGCCACAGTGGGCTCCTGTATCTCTGAGTTCTCTGCATTGACTTCCTACCCTGACCTACAACCACCCTGGCTGGCCCGAAGAGCTAGCATCTCCAGTGCCTTGCCTTGACCCATGTCCTTTGCTTTCTCATCCAGAAGCTATCCAAAGGCACCGCCGGAACCTCATGGAGTGGTTTAGCCGGCTGCCCAGAGAGGAGCGTCAGTTTGGACCAACCTTTGCTCTAGACACGGTGCACGTTGACCCCGTGATCCGCGAGAGCACCCCGGATGAGCTGCTTCGCCCATCCGCGGAGCTGGCCACAGGGCACCAACGACCCCAGGCTGGGCTGCCCCCACTGGCCCTGTCCCAGCTCTTTGACCCCGATGCCTGTGGGCGCCGTGTGCAGACCGTGGTGCTGTACGGGACCGTGGGTACTGGCAAGAGCACACTGGTACGCAAGATGGTCCTGGACTGGTGTTACGGGAGGCTGCCGGCCTTTGAGCTGCTCATCCCCTTCTCCTGTGAGGATTTGTCATCCCTGGGCTCCACCCCAGCTTCCTTGTGCCAACTTGTGACCCAGCGTTACACACCCCTGAAGGAGGTGTTGCCCCTGATGACCGCTGCCGGATCCCGTCTGCTCTTTGTGCTCCATGGCTTGGAGCGTCTCAACCTTGACTTCCGGCTAGCAGGCACAGGGCTTTGCAATGACCCAGAGGAACCCGGGGCACCGGCTGCCATCATGGTCAACCTGCTGCGCAAGTACATGCTTCCTGAGGTGGGTCGCCCCTTAACCTGCTCCATAGGGAGGTTTATGTTCTTGGCCTACATAGATGTTGTATAGGACTGTACCTAGGTTAGTTCATCCCTGGCCCCTCCACTTCCTAAATGGGTGACCCTGAGCAAGTCACTTACCTTCCCAGACTTCTGTCTCCTTCTGTCCTTGTTCTGTATGGGTTAAGTGAGTAGGTAATCAGTACTGATATTATTGGGAAAGGTTCTCACTGTGTAATTCTGGCTGCCCTGGCACTCTCTATCTATACCAGGCTGGCCTTGAACTCACAGAGATCTATCTGTCTCTGCCTCCCAAGTGCTGGGATTAAAGGCATGTGCCACCATGTACAGCACTGTTAGTTATAATGTGGTAACTATGATCCCCTTCATTCTTGGATCCTCCGTCTTTAGGGACTTGTGACAATCAGGTTTCTTTCTTTCTTTTCCTTTTTGGGTTTTTCAAGACAGGGTATCTCTGTATTACAGCTCTGGCTGTCCTAGAACTCACTTTGTAGACCAGGCTGGCCTTGAACTCACAGAGATCCTCGTGCCTCTGCCTCCTGAGAGCTGGGATTAAAGGTGTGCGCCACCACCACCTGGCTGACAATCAGGTTTCTTGAGACATAGAAGTTTCTCTCTTAACCTTTAACCATATCCTTCCCAGGCCAGCATTCTGGTAACCACCCGGCCCTCTGCCATTGGCCGTATCCCTAGCAAGTATGTGGGCCGCTATGGTGAGATCTGCGGCTTCTCTGATACCAACCTACAGAAGCTCTACTTCCAGCTCCGCCTTAACCAGCCCGATTGTGGATACGGTGCAGGGGGTGCGGGTGTCTCAGCCACACCAGCTCAGCGGGACAACCTGATTCAGATGCTGTCCAGAAACCTGGAGGGGCACCATCAGATCACTGCTGCCTGCTTCCTGCCTTCCTACTGCTGGCTTGTCTGTGCGACCTTGCACTTCCTCCATGCTCCCACACCTGCCGGCCAGACCCTCACAAGCATCTATACCAGCTTCCTGCGTCTGAACTTCAGCGGGGAAACACTGGACAGCACCCATCCCTCCAATTTATCCCTGATGGCCTATGCAGCCCGAACTATGGGCAAGCTGGCCTATGAGGGGGTGTCATCCCGAAAGACCTACTTCTCTGAAGAGGATGTCCGTGGCTGCCTGGAAGCTGGCATCAAGACAGAGGAGGAAACTCAACTGCTGCAGATCTTCCGACGGGACGCCCTGAGGTTTTTCCTGGCCCCGTGTGTGGAACCAGGACACCTGGGTACTTTCGTATTCACCGTACCTGCTATGCAGGAGTACCTGGCTGCCCTCTACATCGTGCTGGGCTTACGGAAGACAGCCCTGCAGCGAGTGGGCAAAGAGGTTCTCGAGTTTGTGGGCCGTGTAGGGGAGGATGTCAGCCTGGTACTGGGCATCGTGGCCAAGCTGCTGCCCCTGCGGATTCTGCCTCTGCTGTTCAACTTGCTCAAGGTAAAGATCCCTGCCCCTAAACACACACACACACACACACACACACACACACACACACACACACACACACAAATACACACACACACTCCTTGCTCCTTCCTCCCAGGATTCCAGACTGCCTCATGATCTGTATGCACCTCTTGCTCTTCTCCCAGTGGGGAGAGGCCGCCTCTTGCATACATAGGAATCCTCTGGAAATTCAGCTTTTAGTGGAATTGAGGTCTAACGAATGTGGAGAAAGAAGCCACAGGCAGGCTTGGGGGTAAGAGGGGGATTGAGGTTACAGGGACTTTTTGAAACAATCCTACATGGATTCCTAACAAGGATTTCATTTTTTTAATTATTATTTCTTTTTCCTGCTGCTGGGAAGCAGGCTGGGTCATTGCAATCTAGTTTGCAGGCCCAGAAACAACTTTTTTCTTTTCTTTTTGTGGTTCTGGAGATTGGATCCATAGTCTGGCACGTGCTAGGCAAATGTTCTACCACCGAGCTACATCCCCAGTAACCCTAGGCTCAGAAACTCAATTGTGTCTGCTCCTTCAGAGGCGATTAGGCCCCAGGAGCAATGACTCATCCTAACTCAATCATTGGAGACAGGTTATAAGGCAGACGCCATTTATTCATTTGTACTGGGAGGATGGATGGCATAGGTAATTGGTTTAGGACAATCTCCATCCCGGGTGCAGGTCCACCAGCCAACAGGCCTGAGGGCGATGCTGTGAGCTGGGCGGATGTGGGATGTTCCTGCGGGATGGAGGGAGTCAGTCTTGCTGATGTCTGCCAGATGCTTCACTGCTTCTTCCTCTGTTTGCAAATCAGCCCTAGAGGTCTGGAGATGACACACTGCTCCAGTCTCTTTTTATATCTTGAAGAAACTGGACTGGCAGATGGCTCAATGGCTAAAATGCTGGCAGTGAGCATGAGGATTCAGTTTGGATCTCCAGAACCCATGGAAATGCTGAATGATTGTGGTGGGCTACCCATAATTCCACCTCAGAAGGCTAAGGCACAGGATCCCTAGAGCAAGCTGGATAGTGAGTGCTCAGTCTGATTGAGGGACTTTGCCCCAAAGAATAAGGTGAAAGGGTGATTGAGGATGATTCCTGGGATCAATCGCGGGCTTCTGCACACACACACACATGCACATACACTCTCACGCTCCTTCTCTTCTTTCTGATCTGGGAGTTGGGTCCAGAGCCCTACACATGTCTGGCAATGCTCTACCACTGAACTACATCTTCAGCCCTCTTCATGATGATCCCGTTGATTCAGCTTCACAAAATGGTATTTTCTGGTCTTGTTCCCAGATTAGTATTGAGTACTATCACTTCTGTGGCAAGAACCTGACATCTGAAAAATGAACAATAAGCCAGGCAGTGGTGGTGGTGCGCACCTTTAATCCCAGCACTCGGGAGACAGAGGCAGGCAGATCTCTGAGTTTGAGGCCAGCCTGGTCTACAGAGTGAGTTCTAGGACAGCCATGCTACACAGAAAAACCCTGTCCTGAAAACAAAAAACAAACAAACAAAAAAAAAAAAAAGAAAGAAAAAAAGAAAGAAAAAAAAAAGGGGAAATGAACAATAATGGAGACATCAGAGGAGGTGCTATCAAACGACCTCATGTGTCTTTGCAAGGGTGGAAGGTGACATAGCAAACCTCCCCACACGTAACTCATTTCTTTGCCAAATATTTCAGTACCTTGCCGTGCACCGGGCAGTGTGTTAGGTTTGTTGGAGCAATCAGTTAATGACTCTGCAGGTTATCATGAAAAATGATAAATGCTGATAAGAAAAGTTCTGATGTTCTAAGAGAGAGATGTACCTGGTTTGAGCAGTCAGGAAAGCCTTCTGGAAGAGCATTTAAACTGTAGGATTAGCCAAGAGGACAATTGGGGTGGCAGGAACTCTAGCAAGCAGCATCATGGAGGCTCTGAAAAAGGGGAAGCTGGAGGCTTCGGAGGAGGGCACTGGGGTTGGCTGGGGCTGTCACACAGGACCACGGAGCAGCAGGAGCCATATCCGTCATGGCTGCTGGGATGATCAGGACGTTGAAAGTGTTGATGTATTTATAACACCCAGCCTGGTCTCCAACCGAGCGGCTGAAAGCCAGCCCAGTGCATCTGCTGTCTGTGCATGCATCCTACTGCAGATTGCAGATGTTAGAACCAGATGTAGTGGCCTGAGTTTGTAATCCCAGCCCTTGGGAGGTGGAGGCAGGGGGATCAGGAGTTCAAAGTCATCTTCAGCTAGACAGACATTCCAGGTCAAGCCTGGGACACAAGACCCCTTCTCAAGAAGAAGACAAAAAGAAGAGGAGGAGGAGGAAGAACGAGGGCAAGAAAATACATGACCAACAGGCCTAGGGGCACCTGCCTCTAATCCCAGGACCCTGGACGTTAAACCAGGAGGACTTTGAGGTCAAGGCTAGTGTGGACTTCAACAGTAAGAGCCTGTCTTTGTTCTTTTGGTTTTTTTGAGACAGCATTTCTCTGTGTAGCCCTGGCTCTCCTGGAACTTACTCTGTAGCTCAGGCTGGCCTCGAACTCAGAGATCCACTTGCCTCTTCTGAGTGCTGGGATTCAAGGTGTGCATCACCACCACCACCACCACCACCTGGCAAGAGCCTGTCTTAAAAAAAAGAAAGAAAGAGAGAGAGAGAGAAAGAAGGAAAG